TATATATGCAGAGCCCAATAATGTAGCAAATTTGCATATTCTAATCATATAAATGTGGTGTGGCCACATTAGGTTGTTTCCATAGATACTGTTAATGTTACAAACTTTAGAACCCTTCGGGGAAGTAAGAAACTGGGCTGACTAATGTTGTGATCTGCTGCGTCTGTATCATTATCAATGCATGTGGAGTCATTAGCTTACATATCAGCATYAACGTGCCCTCAGTTGGTATAGGCCTCTCTGTGTAACTTCAGGTATCGAGTTAGTAGGCAAAGCCTCTGCTTTGCATGAAGGTGAGAACACGTGGCTCCTCCTTTTATCTGATGTGAACATTTCAATATTCACTGAGACACCATGTGAGATGAAAAGAGATGATACAAATGCAGCTACCTGAGAAAAAAGAAAAATWTTATATATTTTTTCAACTCCTCTCAGATTTCTTTGTTTCATCTGTCATTTTGTTTGTAATTAACTCTGAGTCAAGTAATTCAGATTTAATGGATTGAGCACTCATGCTGGGGTGGAGATAAATTACACTTAATTGAATGCAGTCTAAAGAAAACTGCTGGTCAACACACCATCTGTCATATGTAGCCTAAAAACACAAGAACGCTAATCAACCATGCATTTTTTTWAACATAATTCCTGAATCTTAGAATTTATTCACGAGTCTCTTTTTAACATCTCTCATTGCTGTAAAGTGGAGCTGAAAGCCCATGGCTATTTCAAGGTTGCACTTTTGTGCTGCTGAGTGTCTGCTCAACCTAATTTAATGACATAAGCAAGCATATATGTTGCAAGAATTACACATATAATGTGTTGAGGCCAGTCAAATTCAATTATTTCATAAATTAATCAAGTTTATTTTCTGTGAATGAGCATGCAGGCAAAATAAGTATATAACTACAAATATTGTTTTTTTTCTGCTACATTTATTTGGATATAGAGCTCAATTCATGTTACACAATATAACATAAACTTGTATATATTAGCAAAGCACAGTCAAAACCTCAAATGAAAACTGTATTTTTACGTATTTTTTGTTTTTATTTTTTGTGATTCAAGTTGAAAAAAATGTAAGTACTAAAGTAAGTTTAGGTATAATGTCAACATTATTGTAAGGTTGAACTGCAACATAGCCTGCTGTTTTTCATTTTGTTTTTCTGCTTTAAACAAATAAAATGTCAGTTTGCACTTTCTTCACTGTCATGGGTTTTCACTGAAAGCTCCAATTTGTTCTCCAGACTTCCAAAGACAGGWATGATAATTKACAACTGGTGGAAATTGTTATATCATATAAGACTTGAAATGAAATAAAATAAAATAAAATAAAATAAAATAAAATAAAATAAAATGAAATAAAACAAACTTCCTTAATGAAATATTGGAAAGCTGTGTAACAGACTAATTTTGTAATGATAAGATGTGTTTAAAAACACACTTTTTAGGTGCAAACTATGGAGTTGAATCCTAAAAGAATGAAAAAAAAATTAAAAATCGCTGGAAGAACATAAATTTGACAACTTACATTTTGTTCTTTTTCTTGTATTACACATTAATGAACAAGTACATCAAATCTCAGTTTCATTGCTGAATAGCAGTACAGCTTTGATATTTTATTGCAGACAGGATTATACAATGTGAGGTACTTTCAACTCAATGATACTGCATAGTGTTGTAATGTTGGCTAACCCATTTTCATTCCCACAGGATTGTAAACTGCCACTCTCCTAAGCCGGTAGTATCTCTGATAAGTACAAAATGGGTTTAGGTGTCAGTGTCCTGATGCACCAGCGGTAGCATTTTTAGACACTAAAAGCAAACACAACCTTATTAAATAAACATGGGTTTCTTTGTGCATCCCGTGGCTTCTCTGTMTGAGCTCCATTTTCTTAGTTTTTGTTTAGTTTTCATGTTATGTTTTGGTATAGGTGAAGAAAAACACAAACAAGCTATATTTCAACTTAAATTATTGCAGTTTGATTTAAAACAGACTCTTTCTTGATGCAAAAATGACCCTTATTGTATCACAGAATAGTAAACAGTGACATGTGAGACAGGAATATGTTTGTTGACAGCCATTTTTTTTAACTATCTGCCTTCAACTGCTCTTCAGTATTTAAAAAAAGGTATTGTGACAAATCTATAATTTTACAATATATAAATTCATGTTTGTTAGTAAAAAAAGAAATCAGCTGCACTGTTGTTGTGATGATATTTCMTGTTGGAACATTGGTTTAGGGGAAACCTAACCTGAACATTTGTTACATTTTTAATAATATAAGTCACCAAGAATTTTGAGATGAGATCCTAAACAATCATGTCTTGTGAAACATGACTGCATCTTTCATCAATTATTAGCCATGTTTACTCTGCTTTAGTGTAAAATACAGAATATTATGGCTTYTGGATCAAAAGCAGGCTTGCAATTACCATTTATATGCAAATTTAAATATGATTTCATGTATTTATTCTCATCTCATGACACTATCATGACAGCAGTCTGAAGAACGTTATGTAACATGACGATCTAAGTGTTTTTCTTTCTAAATTTATGTGAGAAAAACATCTGACATACCTCTCCCACTGGAGAACCACTATATTTGATACTTCAACAGAGCTGTCTAATGTAGGATGATTCCATCCATGTGGCAACTTAATATTTAAATTACATTTGCAGCTGTTTACACTTAAATTACTTTGTATTACTTTTAATCAGAGATGTTGCTAACAATCTAGTCACGTTGTGTACTTTATGAGCACGCTGCAAATAAAACTGCCTGGTTKCTTTTCTTTAATTTGTTATTATTTTCCATCAACCCACTGATTGCATGGCATTTTTCCTGTTTCCTTCCTGTAGCTCCCTCCAGAATGATGACGATGATGAGGTGTCGAACAAGACGTGGGTGCTGACTCCCAAAGTGTATGAGAGTGATGTCACACACATCCTGAATGGCCTACTAAAAGGATACGATAACAAACTCAGACCTGACATTGGAGGTACAAAGTAACATTTTTTATTTAATTTTATTTTTTTTTTTTTTTTTTTTGGAAACAAATAAACCAGTTTTATAATTGCAGCATTACAAAGAAATACAATTACATGTTTGATATTGCATGTAAACAAAGTTAGCAAAAATAAAATGATCAGTCTATTTTAGCAGTTATTTKGATTCAGTTTCTATTTTTTAATAGTTTATGTGTTATCTTTGGTAAAAACCCATTCACCAGTTACACCACAGCCATATACTCTTTGCACACTCATCCAAAAGACATAAAACATTATTTTCCAGATAAATTACATTTGTAGTTGTATTAAAGTAGAACAGAGAATAACTCGTTGGCACATTATCAAGGTWCTTTGAAACCGTTCAGCACGCTTTGACAGTTAGCCTCGCTATTTATAAAGTATCTCTRACTGTGTTTATGTCCATGCATGCATTAGGGTCAGGGAAGCTGTCCATCAAAGTCCTGTAAGCCTGCAGACAAGTAGCTTACTCCCTTCACGCTGACAGACAACTGATGAGGACTCCCTTGCTCCACGAGCCCATCACATTCATCTGCAAGAGTTGTATAGGGAGATACTCAGTATCACTGAATGCCTGTTTTATGGGTCAGCATTACAAAAAATCTGTCTAAAACCAGGAGCTGTCACACACTGTCATGTTGAGATTAAGCTCAGATGGTTGTTACATATTTAATGTGAGCTATTTGACCATGTTCTGAATCCTTCAAATAAGAAGAAAAAGAAGAAAAAAGATCTCAGGTGCAGCTTTCACAGGGCCTTTAATAACAGTCTTTTTTTCACCCCTGATAGCAGATCAGAACCACAAGATGAATAAATGTTAAGCGCCTGAATTGTGATCGGTACTTTATCTTTTTCCTCACCAGTCAAAAAGACAAAACCTTGTGAAACAAATGATGAGAACTTTGGATTTATTTCAGTTTTTGGTCTTTGGCCAGGCTTGTAGCACAAACTGCTGAGAAGCAAGTTTGATTAAATTCAGGCTGGCAGGAGTTTTAAAGGATTTCAAGTCTTTTCTTTTTAGCACTGGACACACAGCGATCACATAAACTGACTCATGGAAGTAAAACCACTTGTGGGTGTTGGACGGAACGTACTCATGCACARATTTGAGGGATTTAACTTTTCATTCTGGTCAAATATTTCGATAGGTGGCAGGTGAACAGAATACAACTTTCTGAGCTAAAACAAACTCATAAGCTAACAGAGCTGCTTTAGTGACCGATGAACCTTGTAGTTTACATACATATTTAATTAATAATTTTTTTAAATTCCTTCAGCAACATTAGTTTTGTCAAATCCTCAATCTGCTTCAGACCCAGCTTTATAAGCTTGCAACACTGTTTCATAATCTAGACTGTGCTAACTTAACTTACAGAAGCAGGTATGCACTTAAAAGCAGTGAAATAAGAGTTTAGCCCAGACTCACRGAACAGGAGCAACAATGTTATGTGCTAACTTGTATCAGCAGAAACAGACAGGCATGTGCTTCAAGGTGTTTGTAAAACAGCACCAGCAGCAGGTGACCCTTCTCCACCTCAAGAGCTCTGGTACAGAGATGCATGGCCTGCAGCTCCAGCTCATGTTGCAGGTTTCCACCTCCTTTATTTGAAGGGTTAGGCAAAGATTCTCTGCAGTCATACTTTTTTATGAGCACCAGGCACCAGGTCAGGCTCTGCACCGGCAACGGGGGCACGTCAACAACATCAGCCGCTGTCGCAGCCACTCTTTGTGTGACTTTTCCTGCTTCTTTCACAGCTGCAGGCAAAATTTATATTTTCCTTCTCATATAAGCCTCCTCTTCCTTTCCTCTTTTCAAACAACCACATAGATGGGATGATGATATTTCCCAGAAAACAAAAGGGGTACAGTTATTGTGTAATTTACAAAATGGAATTGCCCAGGGTGGGCCCAGGCCAAAACCAACTTATGTGGAAAAATGATCAAAATAATTTGTTTAATTC